GCTATGTACACCACACTGAGAGCCCAATTCCTGCCCATGTGACAACATTGGACCAGTCACCAAGCATCATTGCTGTTAAACAAGAGAAGGAGAGTGAGTCTTATGATCAATACTGGGTATTTCTCTTCATTCCCTGTAGGGAATTTAGCGGAGAGCACAAAGGAAATGTGATAAATTTTTGCTACAGAAACCAGTTGTTGCAGTGAACATGTTGCGTTGCCCTGCATGGTTGATTGTCATTAGAGAAATATGGTGTATTTAATTGCTATGGTTGACCTCTTTCTGAAAATGTTAGATGCTTTGCTGTTATTCTGATCCTCAGGGTTCTGTACTGTATTTCACAAACTGACAGCAACACAAAGCAGTGTGAAATAAAAAGTAAAAAAAAATAATGCCAACATATTTAGCTCAATTGAAATGGCATATTGCATTTATTTAGGAGGAAAACAAAGGTTATAGTGAGATATCTTGCACAACATCCACCTGAGCCTACACCCTGGATTTCCAACACAAGGCCTATATTTACAATCACTTACTTCTGATAAGAACTGGCCATTAATCATTTGCAGAAAGCACACATCACTGCTAATTCATGTATTCAAATCGTTTGGAAAAAGAGAGATGTGTACTACTACTTCACCAGTAAGGTGGTTGACTTAAGAGTGTTGAAATACTAAGAGAGTAGTGAATGTTTTCTTAGCTTAGTATATAAGGTGAAGTTATGTCCATGTTGAATCCTGTTCTAGGAAGTTAAAAACAAAAAAAACAGGATGTTTGCTTGCACATGATTGGATGCTTGAATTGATGATTACAGCGAATGCAGCTTTATTCAGCATTGACTCGCAAAGTGAAAGTTCTCGACCCCCTTAATGAATCAACCCCTCTGAGTAAGATATTTTGTCATTTTTCAGATTTACTTAATGCTTCAAATCACTGAAACCTTATTAGCAAATTCCATAGGTGTAATAACCTATATCACAATACCATTGCCCTAGTTTAACGATGGCACGGAAAGCACTTATATGATTGGTTAGACATTACTAAATATTTGGAATTGTTAGGCTAGCAACCAACCATCCCTGAAACATTTGCTGGTTAATGCTAAAGCACTCTGCTGATTTCAAGCTCTGCTGAAACTACGTAGAGATACAAGATAGCAGGTCAAAGGACATTTGCATTTGGTAATAATTTTGAAACAGACCTTCAATGGAAAATATAATCAATTGGAATTTTATTTTGCAGCAATTGACTAATATAACACAATACTTTTTGTTTAATCCAGGAGTGTCTGAAAGCATGTGTCTAAGTTCAATTTTACATCTCACACCGTGCAAAAATATGATAGTATGATTTTTATAACTGCAGGTGCAGTTTAAAGTGACACTAAAGTCAGGAATTAAATCTTAAAAATACATTCAAGTAACTTAACTTTTAACAAAAATGTATCTTATTTGTGTATCACTCATGTAGCTGTAGATCCTGAATTCATGCTGACAATGTCCTTCCTTCTGGAGGGTGGCTACTTTTGTTCTCCATGGTCCCTGTGTGTGTTGTAAAGTAGCCACCATGCCAAGCTCACTCCTGTGATGGACTGCAATCTCATGTCTAGTTTACTAATTTGTATTGAGATTGTAGTCCATCATGGGAGCGAGTCTGGAGCGGTGGCTACTTTACAACACACACAAGGACCATGTGGAATAAAAGTAGCCACCCCCCAGAAGGAAGGACAGTATCAGCATGAATTCAGAGATAATTTGAGGATCTACAGTGGAGTGATACACAAATAAGATAATTAAGATACTTTTTTGTTAATAGTTAGGGTATTTCAATGCATTTGTAAGGTGTAACTCCTGAGTTTAGTGTTACTTTAAGGAAGCGTTTAAGCATCTTGAGCCAAACTATCCGCACACACCATGTGATAAATATTTCTCCATTTTTATTACAACATGGTTGTACACACAACTACCAATGGATAGAAAACTAAAAAGCTCCTTGTTTTGCCCATATATAAATATGTTTTGCTGCCATGTGGTATTAAGTGATCATGGGACTGGGTGACCTGGCTTATTGTTTACCACTAATCTCATTCTGCTATCTGACATACAGTAGGCTAGTATTTTTCAGGAAAGGTCATGCATTTCCTTGGCCTCTGATAACAACATCTGACTTTTCTCTTGTATTGTGTGATCATTTTTTACTCAACAACTATAATGTTGTATCATTAGAAAAACAAGATGTGTGACTCACATTGTGTTTGTGGTGCTCACACTTGTATGAAGCCACTGTAATCAGCCTAGCGTTTCACAGAGCATGAAATGTCACGCTGGTCATCGGTCAGCACCACATCAAACCACACCATTGTAACTCAGGATAAAAGAAAAGTGTGAGCTTTGTAAACCTAATCATTGCCTGGGATAAAATTGGCGTTGATACCACAAAAACACAGACCATCATTGTTTAAAAATGATCTCAATACTATTATGTTAAATCAGCCAGGTATTTCTATTTTGAATTATTGTATCATCTCAAAGTGCTTGTTTTTACTGTCTAGACATTTGCAAGTAAGCTATTGTTTTTTTTTCTGTATATACTTTTTTAATACTTTTGTTCTTTTTAACAGCTTATTTGGACCAAGATGCCAAGGAATGTGCCTGTTCTATCAGTCCTGGTAATCTTCTGCGGGCTAGTGTGGAATAGTGTTGAACAGTGCGAAGAGACAGCTAAAATGTCAGAGATGAACCTTGATATTGAATATAACCTCCATTCCTTCACCGCTGATACACAAATACAAAATATCCTTCAGCACAATGGTTACGTTTATGTCGGAGCAGTGAACAAGCTCTTTGTACTCAATGAAAACCTCACTAAAGTATCTGAGTACAAAACAGGACCTGTATTAGAACAGTCTGACTGTGGGGGACCTTGTGAGGGCTGTCTGGATAAGGAACACACTTCAAATGGTACTTGGAAGGACAATGTCAATATGGCTTTACTTTTTGAAGACTTCTATGAGGAACAACTGATAAGCTGTGGAAGTGTTCATCAAGGAACCTGTCAGCGGCATGTGCTTAACCAAGACAAACCCTGGGACATAGGAAGTAACGTTCACTGTTTGTTCTCCTCGCTGGCTACAAATGTCTCAGATTGCCCTGACTGTGTTGTCAGTGACTTGGGAAGTAAGATCCTGGTAACCGAAAAGGATAGGTTTGTCACATTCTATGTAGGCAACACTCTTAGAGAATCACCCTCCAGTCTTCATTCAGTGTCGATCCGGAGACTGAAAGAAACACAAGATGGATTTGAGTTTCTTACAGATCATTCTTACATGGATATCCTCCCCAAATTTAGAGAGTCACATCCTGTCCAATACATTCATACCTTTAAAAGTGACAACTTTATTTACTTTTTAACAGTACAGAAAGAATCTCTGGACTCCCAGGCCTATCACACTAGAATCATCAGATTCTGTGCTTCAGACTCTGAGTTGCGCTCCTATATTGAAATGCCTTTTGACTGTTTCTATACAGAGAGGCGCAGGAAAAGATTGGCTATGCAAGAGAATTTCAATATTTTACAAGCTGCCACTATCAGCAAAGCAGGGGAAGCCTTGCAAAATGAGATTAGATTCAGTCCAAATGATGACATCTTATATGCTGTCTTTGCCCAAAGTAAGCCAGACTCTCCCGAATTGACAAACAGATCTGCTGTATGTGCAGTATCTATAAAAATGATCAATGAAGTCTTCGACAGTGGTTTAGGAACACATACCAACTGTCTGGGGCATTTTTTTGGAAGAGACAGCCACAATTCATGCATTCACAAGGTGGGTTCTATGTGTTTAGTCCACAGTGAGTTATACAAATCAATAGTACTTATTTACTAACATAATAATGTATTACATTTCTACCATGAAAAACAATCTACCTTTTAAACAAGGTTTTGTATTATTGTTTTGTATTATTCTTCTCAATACCTACAACATAAATATTTAAAATAAATAAGAAACATAAGAATATATTTAAATGTATTTTTAAAATTGCCATCCTTTATGTTTACAGCAATCACTTGCCTTGCCAGTTATGCATGCATTTTAGGAGCATTAAATTAACCAAAAATTTCAACTGGTACCACTGTGGTGAACAATTAGTTCCAATACAGTTTTACTATAAAAACTTATAAGAGATCACAGAATAGCACAATATCAACACTCTGGAAAACTTTAGAGTTTATTTATAGAACAAGCTATCCCCCCTTTCACAGGTGAAGTATACACTATATAAAAACTAAAGCAAACTTTATTTCAGATTTTTACCCGACTCTATTTTTAAGAATTCAATGTAGACCTTATCATTGCCTTCCTCCTAATGCTAAGTATCTGCCCTTATTATAACTGCCTGAGCAGTCTCAGTTAGAGCTGCAGCTAATGATTATTTTCAAAATCGATTAGTTAGCCGATTGTTAAGTCCGATTAATTGGATAAAACAATAAAATAATTTTTTTTTAAATTGCTCCAATGATGGGACTTCTAGTTTGTATGAGATTGTAGTCCATCACAGGAGCAAGCTTGGAGCGGTGGAAGTAAAAAAAGAGGAAAAAAAAAGTGTGGTGTGCAATATAGTGAAATGAAAAATTTAAAATTATACAGCAATTAATGCAGAATGGCACCGGCAATGGAGGACTACAAATCCCAGCTATAGTACATTGTAGCTGGCGGTATTCTGCATTGTGCTGTACAATGTACAATTGCTGGGTTTTGCAGTGCTCTATAGCTGGTGGTATTCTGCATTGTGCTGTATATAATGTACTATTGCTGGGATTTGTTGTACTCCTCTATAGCTTGCGGTATTCTGCATTGCGCTGTATAATGTATTGCTGGGATTTGTATTCCTATGTATAGTATACAGCACAATGTACCATCAGCTATAGAGGAATACAAATCCCAGCAATACATTACAGAGCACCATGTGTGGGAAAGTGCAGGCTTACCTGAGCAGTCTTCCAGCAACTTGCTTCTGAAATCGGGCCTGTCTATCGGCGGCTGTCATCCCCCCACACCTGCTCCTCCTTACTTCTCCCTGCGCCGATCGTGGATGTGGGCGGGCGGTGAGGCGAGGAGAAGGTGCAGCGTGTGGAGCGTGGATGTGGGCGGGTCTGGCAGCGGCGAGCGTGAGATGGAGGTGCGGCGCGCAGCGTGTGTGGAGCCGTGAACAGGGCCAACTAACCGGAAGCCGATTAATCGATGATTGAAAAAGATGACAACTTTTTCAATCATCGATTATGATCGATTATGTCGATTAGTTGTTGCAGCCCTAGTCTCAGTGTTGTAATAAGAAGATAAACAGCCTGGTGTTCCATTGGATTTGCACTACTCTTTTCCAGTCTCTTACCAGAAGAAGAAACTCCAATTTCAGTGGATGCCTGTAATTTGACTTCAGGATCAGTGCAGACTTTTAGTAAAAGCTGTGAACCAATAACATGAGCAGGAAATTAGATTTATGGGGCATACTATACATGGTGTACAAAAAGCCCTTAGAATGTCATATTGTAGGGAAGGGACATATTCTTTTTTTTTTACACTTTTGCAAACAAAAATGAAAAATTACTATTAACATTTAATTACAATATGACTTGAGTAGCAGCTGTATATAATATTTTATTTTAAAACAACAGGGATGTCTTTGTTTAACTAGATATGAGCATTGGGCATGCAGAACTGAAAACACACTTTATTAAAGTACAGAGAGCGTATGTAGCACACCCTGTCCTTACCCCCTTCCCCCTCGCTGTTGCTTCCCCCTCATTTGCTGGAAAATCCTGGCTGTCAAAATTTCAGTTGGGGGGTTTCTGTGTTATATAGTAGCTGTTACAGGGCAGGGGAAAGTTTGGCCCTCCAGCTGTGGTGAAACTACAAATCCCATGATGCATCTGTCTCTGGGATTCATGCCTGCGGCTGTGAGAATCTTGCAATGCCTCATGGGATTTGTAGTTCCACAACAGCTGGAGGGCCGGAGTTTACCTGCCTCTGTTTGACAGCTTCTGCTGTACAAAAAAAAACACACCTTCTGAACAGTGTTTATAAACACTATAAAATTCAGACATACAAAATAACATTATTGTTACTTTGTATTTACTCTGTTTCATTCATCTGCAGGTCAGAAGAGTAATCTTTGATGTGGACATGAAGCCAGTAAAAAGAAACCTAAAAAGTAAAAAAATAAGTTTTGTTCCATAAAATAATTACTATTTAACATGTTTTTATCCCTTAGTTTACTATAATCAACTCTAATCAACAACTTCTTCCCCTTAGCTCCCTATTTTCTTTTTTTTTTAAACAAATATTTTTTTTAAACTTTAGTGTTACATTACAAACAATTCCAAAATTAAAAAAAAAAAATACAAGTTTATTTCATTTGAAAACCAGAACCAGTACCAGAATCATAATTAATAAGATTCATACTTTTTATCTACCATAACGCTATTTGTTTAAACTATCACTGGTCAGTGTTAGTTTTTACAGTGTTAGTTTTTTACACTGGTTGGTGTAGTTTTGTACATATTTTGTCTATCAAGTGCATAAAAAAATTAAATCTCTTCTGCCAGACAATATCAATGTAAAAATCAATACCAATCAAAACCCATGGCTTGAGATCTTTAACCTTTCGTTATCATAGGCAGTACTGCCCATCTAGTTTGCAACTGATAGAAATATGCCAGCACAGTATAGACACAGACAGGGTTAACTATGGTAAACATGAACTCCACAGCCCCCTCCTTAACAGTACATGGAAGGGGATAGCTAGCTATGATTTTTTACATTTCAGTTTTTTGTACATGCTGAAGAGTTAAAGGAGAATGATGAGGTGAGTGATTTTCACTCAGCCTCATAATCTGAGCCGACCTGTGACGCTTGCTCGCTCACTTCTCGATCCTGTTCCGGCAGAGAGCCGTGACAGGGGAGTGACTGGATTCCCCCCTCCCCTGTCCTATCCTCCAGTGCTGACTGGTGGAACGGATGGGGGAGGGGCTGGTACAGCTGTCTCTGCCTCTAGATAGGCAGAGCCAGCTGTCACTCACGCAGCTGGGTGGATCCAGACAGCATTGTCGGGATCTGTCCCGACTTCGGCGTCTCAGTATACCGCAAGCTGTGGCTCGCTGTATACTGAGCTTTGGGTGACGGGAGGACGCTAGTTTGTGTCCTCCCGTTACCCATAGGAGAACTATGGGGAAAAGCCCTAACCCCTTAGTTCTTCATTAAACCACCTTGCAGGACCGTATTGGTTAGCTGTCTGCACTCTGGTAGCTGGGCCTGCATACCTGCTGTGGCCATTATGAGGGGGCCCCATTATTTTTCCTGATTTTATATATTTATTTTAAATTATGGAGAATGCAATAGCAGATGCATAAACATGCAATGGTAGGCAGGAAAACTCAAACCTCCCAAGTGGACAGAGATAGAATCAGCAATAATGGAAGGAATCCTCACTGTTGGCGAATCCTAGACATAGTGTAATGTGTATTGAGAATTTCAAATGAAAAAAGAAAACAAGCCAGGAGGAAAGCCCAGTCATGTGACTTGTCAGAGTCATGTGACCAGCTTCTCAGTGTTAAGCAGAGAGCTCTGTGACACACCACAGGCCCCACATTATGGCTTGCATTTTAGAAATAAACGCAGGCAGCTGTGTGGAGTAACTTTGCAGTGTATAGGGAAGAGTGGATATCAGTATCTAAAAGTCTATTTGTCATTAAGCTTGCCATACACAGATTGAATTTTGTCTGATTCCCTCTGAATTGGGTAAAATTTGATCCGTGGGTGGCCCTAACGCCACCACCCAGTTTGTCAAAAGTCGATTTTTGTTAAAGGAATTGGGTGGAAGATTGTCAGCCGAACAGTGACTGTAGCTGCAGTCACTGTTCAATTATATTTTGACAGCCAGGGTGCCAACTGTCAGGATACCTTAGCCAGAAGAGGGAATTCCCTCATCCGTAGCATGGATCGTGGAATCAAGCTGTTTTTTAGCCATGGGCTGAATGAGAAAAATTGTACAGTGTATGGTCAGCTTTTTAGTCAGGAGACACCCAGCACATGTTTGCAGCCATACTGTGTGCATAAAGTGATCACAACTGAGAACTGACTAGGAGTGCCTATGATAAAAATCTGGCCCTAGGGCCAGCAGTCAGACCACTAATGCCATTATAGACACAGATAAATACCTTCTGTTTGAAAAGATTTAAGTCTAAAATATAGACAACATCTGCGGAGCAAAATTGAATCCGAGGAAATCAAATAGTGTCGCACATAAAGCTGTGTTCCTGGTTGGCAGCTGTTGGTCGCGGCATGGATTAACCCTTTCAATTTGTTTTCTTCCTTTCAAAGTATGGCAGCTGTCATATAAATCCTGCCTCTTCTTTGTATTCTGATAGTCATACTGTATGACATTTTAGCAACTGACAGAGCATTTGACTAAAGTTAGAAGATCTGGCTAATGAAAAAACTTAGAGAGGGGAATTTATCAAAACTGGAGCAAACTAAATATGGAGCATCTGTGCATGGCAGCCAATCAGCTTCTCTCTTTCATTTTCAAATCTTAACTGAACAAACTGAAAAGAGAAGCTGATTGGTTGCCCTGGGCAACTGCTCCAGATTTTGTCTGCCTTAGTTTTGATGAATTCCCCTGACTGTCTCTCATTAGGAGAATGTTTAAAAGAGAACTAAAGCCAACCTTTTTTTCTGGCTTAAGTCCTCTTTTGGGTCAAAGGAGTTCATTTATTAATGTACTCCTGTGACCCAAAGTCAGCATCTAGCGGGCTACTGCCTGTTATATG